ACCTGGAAGGACAGATGAGTGTTAAATTAGCTGATCAGCAGACCACAAGTTGGAACATTATGCTAAGTTTATAACTCAAGCATCAGTGTTGATGAAGGTGAAACACACTCACACACACACTCACACACACTTATCTAATGTGGTTACACCTCACTTATCTTTGACCTTACTTTCGCTTATTATCAACTCTTTTAAATTTCAGTGACTATGACAATGCTATATTTGACTTCATTCATTTAGAATATGCTTTAAAACTAATCTGAGCCCAAACTCTGCCCTTAAAATTTGCCCTGAAAGTAGCATTTTACGAGATAGCATTTGAGACTTTTTACACTGAATCACAATCTTTTATGTAGGTGCAGGTTCAAAATCCTGTTGCCTGAGTCCATATGACTTAGAGAGAGAAAATCTTGATTTGCTTTAGGCTTGTGCAGAATAAGTACTCTCAGTCTTTCTCATTCTCCCACGCTATCTCTTTCTAACTTTTGTCTTTGTGAGTGAAGAGTGGAGCCTTTGAAGCTGGCTGTATGGAGAGTTCACTGTGTGAAACCAGCTTTTCTCGTCACTCTTTGACATCACAGAACTTTAGTCTCTGCTTGATAAAATATACATACCATACCATGTATAATTCATAACAGTATTCTCTGTGTGCACTGTATGTACAAATGTAATATACTCGCTGAGGTTTCATTCAGGTCAGTTTGTGAATTGATGTCTCACCTGCTGCAAACCTGTGAAACCCCATCATTAAAAATCCTCCTCTAACCATCACTTTCATTATTTATTGTGCAGAAGCTAAATAATAAAAAGTAGTGAAAGTTGTATGACATCTTCACTATGATGTTGCCGTCATCTTCTCACATGATGACAGCTTTTCATCTATGTGGATTTAAATACGCTCAAGCATACAAAATCAATCTCATCATGTATCAGCAGTGGTTCTCCTTATATAACTTCCCTTTACATTAATTCATTAATAACTTTGTTAATGAAGTCTTCATGGCATCTCCATGTTGGTGTAGAATCTCATTTTTTCTGTGTATTGACGTTCTCTATTAATTTGTGAATAACTGCCTGACACTTGACACTCGTTAAAATTAGACCTGACTCTTACTCATGCTCTATTTTCCCTCACTTTCACTTTCCAAAAATGAGGAATGGGCCTTAAATTCTCTGAAAGCTGACTCTATGAAGACCAAAGTGTGTGAGTGTGTGTGTGTGTGTGTGTGTGTATGTGTTGGGGGGGGGGGTTCTGTGAGAAGAGAGAGACGGCTTTTCTCTTCATTGTGTGTGACATCTCAGTGCTTTAGTCTGAGCTTGATCAAGTGCATGTTTAGTTTCACTTCCTTCCTCTATTCCATTTCCTGATTTCCTGTTCATGTCGAGGCTCACAGTTGGTCGGTCTATGAGAGAAGTTTTCAGCTGCTGTTCTCGTTCTGAATCTGCAGCTTGTAATCCTTCCTTTTCCTTTCAATTCATAATAAAACTGACCCACAACCCGAGTTCACTTTTACATATTTAAGCTGTATGTGTGAAAATGGATGGATCGATAGCTGCATGTTGCTTCAGTCATTTTTTCACACTCTGCTTGTCTGCTAGCTAATTTGTTGTTAGCATACCCTTTTGCTAGCAGCGTCAGAGAGGAAAAAAAACACCCAATCAAGGAGCTAAATGCTTCTACAAGCAGTGTTTGAAACATATGTGCAGTCTTCTCACTAAGAACTGAGATTCAGCACAACATCAACCCAAATATTTCAAGGAGAAGAAGGATGGACAGAGTGCATGCTTCATGTTTGACGAGTAGTCAATAGTTCCTCTTATGCTAGATCCCTGATTTTGACAGGCAGGGACAAAAAAAAAACCCACTGATTATGTTGTGTTTTTTTCTGGTAGAAAAGCAAAACACAGCAGTTGCTGTGGTTGAGCTGTGTCTAGACTATGTAATTGGTTCATTACAGGACTGTAAAACAATGATCAAAGATGGTCAATTTTTTTTTTACCTGGAAATCTGAGCTCTTCATCTTAAACCTTGTAAACTTCACAATTTCATGCATGCATGCACAGAGCAAACATGGGCTGTCCAATCCAATAATTGCTCATTGTACTTGCATCATTGTTCATCTTTCACCAGAGGGAGGGCTACAGCACAGATCAACTCATTTCATCAGTAAATAAACTGATCCCAACTACTTAATCTTATCGTTTTACTGCTATTTCTTCCTGCATACAAATAGGAGTCCATTCCTAAACAGAAGTGTCGCACTCTGCAGCCCATACAAATCACCAACACAGTTATTGTTGCAGAATGAGAAACAGCCAACATCACACATGTGAACCCTCCAAAGCTTCTAATGCATATGTGCTTTAATTACGCAGCTAACCGCAGCACAGCGGACTAACCCTTCAGGGCCCTTTATGTCCACAGAGACTCGAGACAGGCTCATTGTAGCCCTGTCCCTTCACTGCCTTTGTCTTTCCATCTCATGGGTCCCATGGGTGAGGCCACATTGGCGTCCCATGTGTTAATGCTGGCCAATGATAAAGTAGCTGCCACGGCCCTCATGAATTATGCAGAGGGGAAAGCAACTCCACCCTCAGTTATGTAAATTTACCTTCTTTTTTTTTTTTTTTTGGGGGGGGGGGGGGGGGGGGGTGTCCATCGGTGATGTGCTCATACAGGGAGGTGGTATCAAGCGTCACACAGTGTGAATGTGTGTGAAAGGCGAAGACAAGAGTCGTGATCTACTGACACACATATATAGAAGTGGTAAATATTGAAAGTAATCATTCACAAAATTGATACATGTTTATTTTGAAACTACTTATCAAACCAGTAACTGCTCATATAGGCAGATTCCAGTAGGTTTTTCTCAGTTATCCTCAGGTGAACAGGAACTGATGCACTTCACCTCTGGGTTTTTTTTGCAATAAAAAAGACAAAGTGCAGAAGCTGGTTTTCATGAACAGTTTGACCACCATGGTTGAATGGCTAAAGATATGGGAACCACCTAAAAACCTCAAAATTTACAAAGAAAAACATTTCCCACTACACACAATATGCAGTAAAAAACATTCTAGTTACAAGAAAATATCACTGTAAGTAGCACTTGTGTACAGCATATGCTCACATGTACTTTGTAGATATATGGTGCTGTGCCTGAGCTTACTGCTAATGCTAATTTGCCTCTGAATATAGTTTTATCCCTGGCTCAGTGTGAGTAAGTTATCCAGCCAAGCATAAAACAAACTCTGCCTATAAATAACCCAGTCTGGGCCAGGCCAGGCTCTGAGCATATGTAAGGTTCAACACCCTGCTACACATGGCAACTCTGCTGTATGTCATTATGTCATGGCTGAAAGCAAACACTGAACTATTGATGTCTCTTTATCAGTAATTGTATTGGTTCTGCCGTAACTTCTAACAGTAAATGGGCAGATCAGCTCCTCTTACAGCCCCAATCTAGTTTTCTCTGAAATCTCCGAGTAAACGGATCCTGAGACAGTTGATTTCCACTTCCACTGACGACATTAGAATCCTCAATGCTTTTTTAAATTTATCCACTTGACCTGCGTGCTCAAGTCGAACAGCGGATACCCATTTTGACTGTGAAAGAGCGGTAATAACATATCATATTGACTGTGCCACAGTGACATTGAGTTTGGGGTGTGTTTTCCAGGAAGCCAGCCTGAGCCCCCTCTCCATCAGTTGTACAGTAGCTACAACACAGGACTGATATTCAAGGCTTAATCACCTGTTTTGGATCAGATGAGAGCATTAGGGCCTCCATTACAGAATAATGTACTGTAGTCTGTGTGTTCGTATGTGTGTGTGTGTTACTGGTACAGTCTAATTATTCTACAGCAGGTCTGCAGGCGCAGTAGGTGAGTGTCTACCTCACTCTGTGTTGTCACTGAGCCAGACACCTAGATTCACTGTTATGAAGGCGAATATTAATCTGGTCCTGGCTCTGGCTGTCTTGTTATTGAAGCAGATGGTATCTGACAAACAGGAGCCACGTGGCCACCTATCTATCTATCTATCTATCTATCTATCTATCTATCTATCTATCTATCTATCATCTATCTATCTATCTATCTATCTATCTATCTATCTATCTAGGCAAGCCAAACAAATAGCCCACATTATTTGCTTGGATTGCTCGATAAGAAGGTATTATAATGAAATACCTGAGTTTTATGCATGCTGTTATTTCTATGAGATAAATCAACTTCTCTGTTCATAACAAACCTTTGTTGTCACTTCACCTTCTCCGCTACGTCTACATCACCTATAGAGGGCAGATTGAGGAGCCCTGAGTACATAGCTTAACCGTTCAGTGTTGACCAACATTTTGTATGAGTAACAGTTATTACAAGTAGCTGATATTACAAAATGAACTAACAGAATTAGAAGAAGTCAGATTTCGGTCATTTCCACTCCTAATGTAACTTTTATAACACTAAGTTGGTCCAGTTCTGTGGCTACAAAATTCCGTCTGATTCTTGCAGTTTAAAGTTTCCTTTCTCACTCACAGAAATACATAAGTCACAAAGCAATAATAACGAGCTCAGCATAGTGGTAAGGAACAGTTATACCCTTCGGCATACATTACACACACAAGCATGGACTTGAGTGACTAAAATTTTAACTATTATCATTTGTTGACTTCTTATTTGTACGGTTATCCGCCAAGAGAATACACGGTGGGGGCGGCAGCGAGCGGTGTAACGGAGATTTTAAAAAGTTGAAATTTTCTAAAGACCAAGTGTTAAATTGTGGATTATATCACACCGAATTTGATACATAATTATTCTCATTCACAAAATGGTTCGGTGATGTTCTACCACTTAAAAACATTTCCCCCGAGATGCAAAAAATCTTTAAACTGGCATAATTCTAACGAGGCCTGGTTGCGCTCTCTACATCGGGGCTAAGATGTAGTTTGGCGACGAAGCGAGTAACAGACATAGGGGATGTGTAGGCTACATTAGTGTCTTACCTGTGACATTTGCGGTCTGAGGTTGATTTCCTTTAGGTTGATGGACTGAGCTCTCAGGTTGTTGAGCAGATGGCACAGGAGGACTCCATCCCGGAGGGTTTGGGCCAAGTCAAATACCTGTGCAGACTCCCATGTAACACGGTGGTTAGCTGGAAGCACCTTGCAGTTTATTAACCACAGCGCGCATTGCCTCCAATACTCCATCATTATTGTGACTTCAGCAGGACGAGCTTTGAGATAATTTGTTTTGTTTTGTTTTGTTTTGTTTGAGCAAAGGAAACAGCTGAAGGCTCGACAGTGCGTCTCAAACAGTGTCCATGTTACATCCGCTGACTGTGAAACCCGATGGAAAGGAACAGAGAGCTTGTGGAGACACAGCAGCCGCTCCAAGGATGACAGTCCGGTGTACTGAAGCTGTGGATGGAGCGCACCCTGCACTATTCCTCTCTCTATCTCTATCTCTCTCTCCCTCTCTCTCTCTCTCTCTCTCTCACACACACACACACACACACTCACTCACTCACATGCTCCCTCTCTCTGCATCTCTCTCTCTTCCCTCCCCCTCGCCCCGTTCTTCACCTCCTCTGCTTGCCACCCATAGGCTGGCTGCTGTATGAAATAACAGTAAAAGAAATACCAAGATATAGACAGCAAACTTCACTGAAACTAATATTTACTACTTCAGAACATAAAAGAGTGTTAATTAACTATTATAAATTATCATTTTTTACAGACAGTTTTATCATGTGTGATGCCCGGGCTCTTCTCTGTACGAAAATATCCCAGCTACACAGTGTATAGTGATAAAACTTGTCAATGAGGGATTAAACAAACCAAATAAGTGCATCTTCCTGAGGTACAGACCAACTTTCCTTCACCAAAGCACTTACTGTACTATCATCTGGCAGTAGTCATTAGGTTGAAATGAGTGTATGAAGTAGATCTTACTAGGTCCTGTGTAATTTTCCACATATCTGCTGGGATATGTAAGGTATAATTCCAGAAATATGTGATCAACAGCATCAACACGTTAGTTAGGTAATCTGATACCTTTAATATGTATAGGCCAAAATGTGTGATTGCTTTGTTATTTATATATTCATGAATGGCTGCATGTTCTTGTTCAGTGATGCAGCTCGGGTTTCTGCATGAGTGAATTATTAGTTTGGGCAGGAAACGGTGTGTCTCCTGTAAAAGCAGATGTGTGTTATCTGCTTCTGTTGAATATGTTAAAGACACTCAATGCTCAAGAGGTTTTGGTGCAGTAGGATTTAATAGTGCTAGTTTAAAAACAAAGTGTGTTTCTGTTCAGTCAAAGTACCCAATGATATACAGAGGCCATTGATTGTCCTTTATGATTCAGTGTCAGAATGTTTTCATATGTTAACACTCTTATATACATTCAGTCAGTCCCCTTTGGCTGCTTCCTCTTCCTCCTCTGTGTCAGCCCAGCAGTGGTCTCACAAATTGTCTCCTTCAAAGTAATATTATCACCTTCTGCGCTTCCCATCCCTTTTTTCTAAACACCAGTTGGGTCTCTTTGCTCTGTCTAATAAAACCATATCTAGTTTCAACTGCTGTTACCTCTGGAGATTGAAAACACAACTTCTGTTTTTACAACTTCCATGCAACAGTATCAGTATTCAATTTTTGTCTAATGTAGAAGCAACACACGTGATTGTTATTGTAAATTAATAACTCAGACTGGTTTGCTTTTATGGTTTGAGACAAATGTTTTTACGTTAATGGCAGTATTTTTTATTTTTACACAAATGTGCTAATCCCAAAAAGAGAGACAACCATGTAATTTTTTTTTCTAAAAAGAGCAATGCATTAACATTTCTAACACATTAATCTTGTAAATGCATAAACCTGCTTATCATCTCAGTGAGAGCACAACTGAGCCAATATATGGTCTAACTGACACTGGGTTTATCTTTTATTGCTTCTGTGTGGGTGAAATGAGGAAACTGTCTTCTGGTTCAGATACACGCTGGCTTCTCTGGTTGGACGTAATAGGCATTGAATTAAATGTTTCATACAGCTCAGTAATGGGAATGGAAAGGAGGTGGGGTATTATAGTTTCTTATGTGCCCAAACACACAGCCTGGCTGTGACAACTTGGCAAAGACTGAACTATTTCCTCAGTCACTGTCAAGTTGCTCTTAAGCAAGACAATTAAGCTCCAGCTGGTCCAGTAGATCCACAAAATGAGAGCAGAAGACTGCAGTGAGTACTCTAAAGACATGAATGAAAAGCAGTAGAGTGCACCTCTACAATGCATAATGAAGACAGGGATGAGGAATCCAATGAAAATGAATATAACTACAGGCCAGGCAGTGCAGAAATGCACTGGTAATCACATTAACAGTGTTATATGAAGCTCTATGAATGTGCAGGAAAGAGAACAACTAAACACCTTCCTGATCAATTGAATTTTATAGAAGGAAATGAGATCCACACACTATAAAATTTGCAGAGAAAGAACCTCACCATATACACAAAATGTATGTGAATGAATCACCTTGAGTGCATTTACATACAGTGACTGAACACATAGGCCTGTGCAAACAATACTGTAAAGATTAGTCTCCTGCATGTGCAGTTATAAATACTTCTGTGATCCTCACTCTCTCTGCATCTCACTTCTTCATCTCTGATTCTTCTCTTCATATTCAGAAGATTTGGATGGATGTCAGAAGAGAAGAAATGGCAACATTTCTACTCTTTTGTTTATCCCCTTGTTATGCTGCTACAGGCCTCGACTGCCGTGGGACTTCCCATGATACACTGAGCTCCTCTCTCCTCCTCCTCCTCTCCATCTGTACCCATTCATATCCCATAAAAATGTGCGTTACTAACTAGCTTCTTCTTTCTATGCTGTAATTCTGTGCTTCCTGCTCTCTCCCCTATCTTGCTTTCTGCAGGTGTCCTCCAGGGTCTCTGTAAATAACATCATGAAGAGTACAGTCTAGACCTGCTCTATATGAAAGGTGCCCTGAGATAACTGCTGTTATGATTTTACACAATATAATAACTTGCCTTGACTCGACAGTGTATGCAGATGAGGACTGATGATGAAGTTGACTTGTGAGCATCCAGCTTTGTCTTCCACTGGCTGTACACTGGATGCCATTGCTGGCATAGCACAGATGACAGGAGAGGTGGCTATCGGCCGGATGCTGGCACACCTCTTAGCACCCTTCTCCTGTTTCAGCTTCCTCTCCCAGGCTGGAAGGACGGCCACACAGCCAGGTAATTATCAGCATTCCTCTGATTAATACTGTACAGGGGCTTAGGTGAAACGTGCACGCGCGCACACACACACACACACACACCCCCACACACACACACACACACCCCCACACACACACACACACACCCCCACACACACACACACACACCCCCACACACACACACACACACCCCCACACACACACACACACACCCCCACACACACACACACACACCCACGCACACACACACACACACACACACTGAAGATGGTTTATCATAGCTCCTCTGTGGTGGAGCCATTATCAAACAAAATATATATGAACTGCTCAGTTGCAGTCATACCGCTGGGAAACAGCACTGTCAATTCTTTATAAAACAGCTTTTACACAAAATTGCCAAAAGGTAGATTATCTGAAGGGGACTATTGCATCAAAAGATGCTGTAATTACCTTTAGGTCTCCATCAGCGCACAGATTAATGATTTGCCTATTTCTAAGTTATTTCATATGGATTTTGACCAGCATTGAAAGGTAACAACATTAGTTTCCAAGAAACAGCATGATTGTGTCTGTACACATATGGCAGATGTGATCTTACTGCCAGATTTTTTTTTACTCTCACAGCATTTTATTAAAATGATTAAATAAGACTGGTTCATTGAAGAAAAACAGGAACAACTGAAAAAAGGGCAAAAGATTTAAATGTATGTAAATATATCCCAAACATGTCTATTAAACTAAATCCTGAGAAGAATTTTGAAAAGATGTTAAATAGAAGATTAAGATTTTTGTAAGCCTAAAAGCGCTGCAGCCATGTCCAATGAAAATTGTTTGTACTACTTCCATTTATGTGCCTGTGTTAAAGTTAAAGTATTGCGTTTTCACAATAACTATATGAACATGAAGAAGAATTGATGTGAATAGTTGCATCCAGAATTATAAATGATAAAGTACATGTAGTAGAATTTAGGTTTACATTGGAAATGATGACAGTATCAAATATAATGGCTCGTTACAGACCATGGCACCAGAACCTCTGAATTTATAATTTTTTAGTTTTACTCACTCCAAACATTTCTTACTTCATAGGGCTCAAAGGTCAACACCTGGAATATGAGTAATTACCAAACATTGATGTTCCCATATTACTTGGATCACCATAATAACATGTAAGGGGTTATAGCCAATATGAAAGCTATTGATACATTGATTTATGGAGGAGCACCAATCACTAAAAAAACATGAAGACTTCTGGTGTTTCAAGTGATGGAGCTAAATGTTCTGTAGAAACCAGGAAAATTTTACTTAACAAGACAAAGGCAGTGTCTTATATTCATATCACACACCGACTCCCAGCAGGTTTTAAATACAGGATATAATGTGTTCACATTAGAAAAGTGAAAGAAGATAGTATTCTGAGTGTGCTGGTGATGCACAATACTCTTCCACAATGCAGTGCACAAAGGAAATGTATTTGGGACACAGTGTAAAAGCTTTCAGGCCTGCTGGCTACTCTGCGGGGTTACTGAGGGCAGTGCTAAGCTAAATGTTAACATCAGTATACTAATATTTTCATAGTGATAAAGCTAACAAAGAGGGGGATGTGAATGACTGAACCACACAAACAGCAATCCATTTGAATAGTTATTGAGACATTTCACACAAAACCACAAATGAGAAAATGTTGGCGTGAGAGAAAAAGTCAAGGGCAGTACAATTCATCCTCAGGGGACCATGAATTTCGTAGACAAATATTCATTGCAATGGTTACTGAGCTGTTTCAGTCTGGATCAAAATGATGGGTCTTTAGAGCCATGGTGCTAAAAATGATCAAATCTGAAAATGATCCCTGTAAGAGTTACCTGAACATGTTAGAGTGCAGAGAGAAAGCACAGCACTGAGAGCAGGTCAACATGCATGGCCTCCTTGTTACATACTGTTACTTGGCAAGTTTTGGCATCAAATAAAAGAGTGGCATCCCCTCCACCCCCCTGCCAGTGTCCTGCCACATGATGGCCCACAAAGCTCAGCAGACCCCTGAATTCATGGGCACTGGCACATTGTCTGCACTCCATCAATATCTTCCTGCTGCTCTGCCAAGCTGTAATTTACAGAGCTTCACTCTGCTCATTGTGTCACTTGATCTGGTGACAGTGGCTGA